GATACAGGGAGGGGATGTGAAGACACAGGATGATGGGATACAGGGAGGGGATGTGAAGACACAGGATGATGGGATACAGGGAGGGGACGTGAAGACACAGGATGGTGGGATACAGGGAGGGGATGTGAAGACACAGGATGATGGGATACAAGAAGGGGACGTGAAGACACAGGATGATGGGATACAGGGAGGGGACGTGAAGACACAGGATGGTGGGATACAGGGAGGGGATGTGAAGACACAGGATGATGGGATACAAGAAGGGGACGTGAAGACACAGGATGATGGGATATGGGGAGGGGATGTGAAGACACAGGATGATGGGATACAGGGAGGGGATGTGAAGACACAGGATGATGGGATACAGGGAGGGGACATGAAGACACAGGATGATGGGATACAGGGAGGGGACGTGAAGACACAGGATGGTGGGATACAGGGAGGGGATGTGAAGACACAGGATGATGGGATACGGGGAGGGGACGTGAAGACACAGGATGATGGGATACGGGGAGGGGATGTGAAGACACAGGATGATGGGATACAGGGAGGGGATGTGAAGACACAGGATGATGGGATACAGGGAGGGGACATGAAGACACAGGATGATGGGATACAGGGAGGGGACGTGAAGACACAGGATGGTGGGATACAGGGAGGGGACGTGAAGACACAGGATGATGGGATATGGGGAGGGGACGTGAAGACACAGGATGGTGGGATACAAGAAGGGGACGTGAAGACACAGGATGATGGGATATGGGGAGGGGATGTGAAGACACAGGATGATGGGATACAGGGAGGGGATGTGAAGACACAGGATGATGGGATACAGGGAGGGGACATGAAGACACAGGATGATGGGATACAGGGAGGGGACGTGAAGACACAGGATGGTGGGATACGGGGAGGGGATGTGAAGACACAGGATGATGGGATACGGGGAGGGGACGTGAAGACACAGGATGATGGGATACGGGGAGGGGATGTGAAGACACAGGATGATGGGATATGGGGAGGGGACGTGAAGACACAGGATGATGGGATACAGGATGTCCTCTAAGGGACAGACAGTGGCACAGACCCAGCAGGCCAGTAGCCGAGGCTGTTTAAATGCCTTTGATAAGGAGCTGCTCCTGGGAGGGAAGAAACCATGCCTTGCTCTTTTCTGATTACCTAGCTGCGGGAGCACTTGTCAAATGTGTCCACGTGTCTTTGCTCTCATTTAACAGGGACGTCTGAGTTTAGCCCAGCGTCAACACCTGCAGCATGAGGTCAGCGTTTGTTCCCCTTTTAGTTGGCTAACAGCTGTTGTGTGTGCTGTCTGCCTGTACAATGGGCAGGTGGCAAGCTTGCAGAAGGAGCACCAGATACATTTGCCCAGTTGTCCGTTCCCATGTGCCACTAACCAGGACATGCCACAGTGCCCTGGTTAAGGAAATCTGTTATTAAGTGGTTTCTTCACCATGCAGTCATTTCTGAATCCTGATTTGATAGCTGTGTCTATGTCTGTTGACTGTTTTCTAATTATCTCATGTCCTATCCCCAAATTGAACAGAACACATTGATTTTATTCACAGTAGTGTTGAGCATGATCAGTCTGCTCGAAGGGAACTTGATTTCTCTAGCTTTTGGAAGTGTGACAAGTCAAGGGACCAGAGTAATCAGTTCCGTGAGATGCCTGCCTCCAACCACTGACAGCACAGGGACCTTGTCAGGACAGCAGAGTGGTGTCCACCTGTCTGAGTTCGCCCTTGTTGCCCCTCAGGTGTCAGACTCTGGTGGGCACAGCCTATTGGGGCCCTGCCTGTTAGAGTGGATGGGGGTGTCAGGGAGGGGTGTTTGGTTGAGCACTGCCATCTATAGTTGGGGCTGGACATACTCCAGATATTTTTTTTAACCTTTCCCTCGTGTGGCTTTTGGCAGCTTTAGCAGTGGCTGTAATAATTATCAGAGCTGGTGATGTCCCTGTAAGTTACTGTAAGGATTTAAAGGTGGCCGTTATCACACCCACTTCAGCACAAGGAGGGCAGATGCCCTGTGTGTGCATGTGGCAGGATTGGTGGGATCTTCTATGCATATAGAAAGGCCCAGAATTACTCCTCTGGGTTCAGATTGCTTTTAGAAACAGCATGCACTTTGTGCCCTTCCAGCTGACGGGAGCTGTAAGCTTTAAGCTAAGCCTCTTTATTTTGTGGCTGTGCTGAATTAAGGGCTGGTTCAGTTGTTTACTCAGGATTCCTCAAGGTGTGGATCATTTGGGAGGTCAGGGCTCTGTCCTTCCTCAGTTGCCCCACAGCTTTGTGTCCTTATCTGCCTCCTTGCTGTCTGTGATCTTGCTGTCTGCAGTCCTTCCTCTCTGTGCAGTGACCTGGCGGCCTCTTCTCAGAGAGCCCGCCATCTGAGGCCCACTGGCCCAGGGCAGGCGGAAAGCTAACTAACCATCACTGCTTCCTTCATCGGAGGCCTCCCTCCTCGCTTCCTCTGGAAATCTGCCCCTGCCAATCTCCCCTCTTTATTCTGGCATCCTTCACTCTGTCCCTGGAAGCTTCCATACCTCTGCTCCCCCTCCACCCCACCCCACCCAGGAAGGCAGAGCATTGGGTTGTGGTTTCGTCTCTCGCACTCCTGTGAAGTTTCGAGAGTGGGGATGTAAGCGGCAGTTCTTACACCCCAAAGATAAAAAAGGGTGTCCAAATCTCAGCTGCCCTAATCCTTGCTGGTGAGTTCTCTGTCAGCCACGCACGCAGCAGAGACATGAGAGCCTCGGTGGCTGCAGGCACCGCTGTAGCTGTTAGGTTTAAACTCACTCTTTGCCGCCAGAAAAATGACATTCAACACAGGATGTGTTGTCCCGAGTTCCTGTTTCCCAGATCGAGGCACAATGAGTGGAAAGCAACAAAACAGGAAGGTGTTTCAGAGCTTTTGACATGTGCCTACTTATCTGTGTCTGAGAAGGAGGAGGGAGATGGGAGAACCTAAATGAAGTAATCATTAACTTCTGACATGCTTTAAGTCAAATGAAGGACAGTTGAGTACTTGGGGTTTGGTTTGTTTTTTTAGGGTAGGGTCTCCTGCACTCCTGGCTAGCCTCAAGCTCAGAGCATGGTAGAGACGGGTCCACAGCCTCTGACTGAAGATTTAGAAAAGAGTTTACTATTTTAACAGTGCCGTTTCCATTGGAAGAGAACACTGAAGGCCAGCATAGCTTGTGTGATGTTGACCTGCCTTTGTGCTATGCTTCAGGGCTGTGTCCATTTCTGACAACATCCTTTCTCTCCTCTTTGGGCTAGCAGGACACCATGAGTCCCTGCACCTCCACTACATGTGGAGAATTCTGCGAGACTGACCTAGCCAGAATTGCAGCAACAGCGTGGGACAGACGGGAGGACACTGCTCACCTCCAGTGCCTCACCTCTTAATGTGGCAGAGAAGGTCTCCCTGTGGACACCTGCGTTTATTGGTGTCTGCAGGTCAAACTCAGCAGCCCTTGCATGTGTGTTTTTACATCATAGGCTGCTAACCCCAGTCACTCTATAAACGCCTAGCATATGTGCTTGGAAGTCCTGGAGTGAGCTCCACTGCGTGACTGATCGTGGCCCTAATTAACTCTAGGAAGCCCGCCAAAGTAGCTTAGAGAAGGACTTATTTCCACAGCCACCCACATACAGAGTGAGCCTGTTAGGGAGGCTGCTCTGTGGAGCTGCACGCTCTGGTAGGTTTAGGCTCACAAAGCACCGTTAGGCCCCAGAGACGGACGCTCTGAGATACTAGAAAGCGCAGCGTGAACATCTGCACCTGCTGAGGCTTCACATAAAATATCACAGAAAGTAGACATCTTCAGAGAATAATCTGCACAGAAATGATAGGTCAAGGAAACGCTGCCTGTCAGCTCCATCCTTCTGTGGGCTGACGGGCAGGGCGAGGGTGGCCAGCCGTGTCCCCGCACTTACTGCGAGAGGCGGTCCCAGGAGAACTTGGCAGAAACATTTCTCCCAACTTTACGAATGAAGCAACTGAAGCCAGAGACTTTCAGCAACTTCAGCCTGAGGCCAAGCGGTTATAAACGCCGGAGCCTAGGTTTGAGGACTGATCCCCAGCCCCTCTCTCGACTGTTACACTCTGCTGTACTCGGTGACGCCCTTAACCAGAAAACACCACCACACCAACAAAAGCCCCTCATTCTTGAGAGGAAGTCCCTTCATGGCTTGTTTTATGTTAGGCGTTTCTGTAAAACCTCTGCTTTCACCCTGGAAATTGAGGTTTTTACAAATCACTACATATAATTCTTTATTTTTATGATTTTCTTTAAAGATTTCTAGAATGTTAGTATGCAGGCTTATTTAGCATTACTGGTCACTTAATAATAGAAACCAATGGCATAGATTTTATTTTTCTCTTATTAAGAGTTGGTCTTTACAGTGTTTTTCTTCTGAGGCAGCAAAGACCAGGCTGATCATTAATCTTTGCTGGTGGGAGAATAAATTGATAAGATATTTTTGCAAAGCAGAAAATACTGTTCTGTATTTGGTGCTTTAGAAAATAAACCTTTTGCCCAAGGATTGCTACTGCCAGTAGTCTCTGAGAAATATTAAGTATCAAAAAGGCTTTTCTGTACATAAATGCATTCTAGGTAGTCAAATGTAAAAATTAGTGTAACTGGTCATATTGTATATAAAATATATCCCAACGTTGGAACACTGTAAAACAGTGTTACTAAAACAGTATTCCTTTCCCTTCATATTAAAGAACTGAAATATTGGCGTTATTTGCTAATGTTTTCTTGTATTGTGAGTTCACACTGAAGTGTGTAAACCAGCCCAGCTTTTTGGTAATAAGGTTTCATTCATTGCTTCCATCTCACTTGGTAGCTAATTTGAGCTGCCAATGACCCTAAAGAAACCTGAGCAGCTAGCTATTGAGTTTCATTCTTTTCTTTCTCTTTTACCGTAAAAGTTAGGCTTTCAAAGTATTCATGAGAGAAGAGTGTCCGTACTCACATGTCAGGGTGGCTAGGACCTCCGCTGGAGCAGCCTGCGTTGCCCGTACTGCTTCGTTAACTGGGCATGTTGCTTTAAGAGAGGCCGATCAGGCGTCCTTTTATGGTGGTGCCTTTTTCCTGTCATTCTCTGACTGAGTATAGCTGCAAGCAGTTAGCCTCACAAATGCGTGTGTGGTTTTTTTTCAAATGGGAAGTGAGATTTTTTTTTCTGATACTGATTTTTAAAAAAACTATTCAAAAGCCCCTTGGACTTTGTGAATCGCTGTTATCTATGGAACTTTTAAAATTTTTCCATAAAGATTTTAAGTCTTAAAAAAAATTTTTTTTGAAGCAGTAAACTTTGCAGAGAGAGGTGGGGGCGTGGGTTAAAGAAAGTATCAAGTCTAATAGTACTGTCTGCCTGGACACATGGTGGTATCTGGAGTCTAACAGGTTTCTGCAGTGAGGGAGAAAGACCCTCCTAGCACATAAATTAGTTCTGTTTTCAGTCGAGGGAGCCTCCTGAATCAGCGACTGTGGCCTTAGGAGGATGGAGGAAAGCTGGGGGACACATCACTGATGGGTCCAGCCAGGGCTGCGTACAGTGCTCAGAGCAAGCCAGAGCAGGGTGGTCCCCCTGTCCCCCCTGTGATCTGGCCTGTCATAGGGGTGCTGCTTTTGGAAGGACAGAGGTCACTTGGGCTGGGGCTGGGCTCGTGGCGGACAGAGATCATAGAACAAGTGACTGAGTGAGCTGAGGATGCTTCGTCTTCTCGGGACCACAGCCTTTGTCTCCTGCTTGGAGCAGGCGTTTAGCTTGCTTTCTTCAGCCATCCTAGAAGATGGGTCAGTAGGACGAGGGGCTGGGGCAGATTTGTTTAAAATGGGATATGCTATTTTTAAAACAGGATGCTTTGGTAACCTGGTTGAACTTGAGGGATGCTGTAGAGAGAATCGCGTCACTGTATAGGAAATTGTAGTGTATGCTCCAGAGGCCTTAAAAGTTACTTATTTACTTTGCATGTATGTGTTGGTGTGCTTGCACATGTGCCTGCAGTGTGCTGTGCCAGGGCATGCACAGATCAGAGAACAACTTTTAGGAACTGATTCTCCTCCTCTGCCACGTGGGTCCTGGGATTGAACTCCAGTTTCACACTTGGTGGCAAGTTCTTTACACTGAGCCATCTTGACAGCTTCCTGAGTGTGGAGGCCTCCTTGCTGCGGGATTCTGTGAAAATTGCCCTTCAGCAGGGCTGTTATCGGTCTGCAGAGGAAAACTGGAGAGCAGGCACCAAGTCTGTGGAATTCCTGGACATCTACCTTATTATGTATAAAACAAAGGCATTTGACTAAGTGAGCACCAAGATAATCCAACCCTATAAGGGGAAATGCAAAGATTTTTATGACTTGACAGGTAAACACGACATAACTCTGAACTGTTCTCCTTAAACACCAGTGAGGCCTAAGGATGTGGCCAAGTGCAGAGAGCACTAGCGTGTGCCAGGCCCTGGAATGTACGCCTAGCTCTGCACACGAGCGTGTGCCAGGCCCTGGAATGTACGCCTAGCTCTGCACACGAGCGTGTGCCAGGCCCTGGAATGTACGCCTAGCTCTGCACACGAGCGTGTGCCAGGCCCTGGAATGTACGCCTAGCTCTGCACACGAGTGTGTGCCAGGCCCTGGAATGTACGCCTAGCTCTGCACACGAGCGTGTGCCAGGCCCTGGAATGTACGCCTAGCTCTGCACACGAGCGTGTGCCAGGCCCTGGAATGTACGCCTAGCTCTGCACATGAGCAGAATGGAATTGACACTGTTAGGAGTTTTCAGTTTGCTGGAAGCCCATCCTAGTGGGATACTTTCTGATTTCTGATTTGGAAGACTTGGCTAGTTAAAGCTGGTGTTCTGGCAAGTAGGATCTATCATCTTTTTTTAGACAAGGTGACTGGCCCTGGACTTACAGATTGGCCTGTCTCTGCCTCCCAAGTGTTGGGATTAAAGAACGTGTCACTGTGCCTGGCAAATCCATGCTTTCTTTGGTATAAAGAAGAGGCAGTACCTGCAGGCACTGTTGTAGCCACACATGAGATAACACACGGGGCGTGTTTTTTGTTGAGAGTTGCAGTGGCTTCTTTGGCTCTGCCCGTATGGTTCCCGTGGACTCCAGGCCCACAGTGGCTCCTTTGGCTCTGCCCGTACCGTTCCCGTGGACTCCAGGCCCACAGTGGCTCCTTTGGCTCTGCCCGTACCGTTCCTGTGGGCTCCAGGTCCACACACATTAGGAAGACAGTTATGTGAAGCGTTTTTCTCGCTCTCTGCGTTGCAGGCATGCGTGTGTGGCTCAGTAACTGGTAATGATACTAGGTGAATGAACGAGTTATTTACTTATTTTCTCTCTACTGTGCTTCTGGTTCATTGCTAAGATAAGGAGTTAGCTGTTGACAGCGTGTAAAAGGTCATCGTGAGTGACAGTCATCAGTGTAGAGAAAGATGTGTCAGAAACTGAGGAAAAGGAGAAACTGGTCCGTGACTAAGAACATTTTGGTATTCTGTGAAGCCTTGTGTATATAGAAATAGCAACACAAAATTTCTGCCAAACAGCCCAGATAGTCGTGGTGTAAACTGCGCCTTGGCAGTGTCTCCGCGTGTGGTCTCATGTCTAGTCATCATGAGAAGTGACAGAAGTTACAGGGTCTCAGGAATTTCTGCACTTCCTCTCTTGCTGGGTAAGTGTGCGCAGTGAGTACTGAAGTTTCTGTCAGAGATGTGAGCTCGAGGAAGCACTGGGCTTCGTGCTCTTCATAGCATTGTTTACGTCACATTTGCTGGCAGACGTAAGCAGAAGAGCTGTGACCTGAGAAGGTGTGGGGGAGGCACAGGGAGACAGTGCAGCTGTCTAGCAAAGCAGGGTCACTTTACGATTTCTTTATTATTTTAGTGAGTGTGAGTGAGTGAAAGCCACATGTGTGCAGACGCCCATGGAGACCAGGGGAGGGTATGTGCCCCCTTGGAGCTGGAGTTACACCTGGCCTGGGTTCTGGGAGCTGAACCCAGGTCCTCTGAAAGAACAAGTCCCTTTAACTGCTGAGCCATCTCTTCAGACCCAGCAAGGTGTTTGTGTGTGTGTAACAAAGGCTAGTATACCAGTTTAAGGGACGATTCATTTGCTCTACAAATAAGCATTGAGAATGTTGAGCCTTAGTAAGGATAAGGTATTAAACAGAAATGGCCAAAGCTAAGATATCAATAGGTAGGATGACCAACCAGAGCTCGGTCCCTGGAACCCACGGGAGAGAGAACCCCCCAAAGTTGTCTTCTGACTCACAAACGCGTTCGGTGACACTGGTGCCCCCTCCCCCACAGTAATGGCATTCTTTAAACATGTACAGGCCAAAGTCCCTGTCCTTGTCCTTGCATTGTAGCTGGGAAGAGAGGTGGTACATAAGTGGATCCCAGCCTAGGGGTGGCTGTTGTAGGGGAAGATGGCCAGAGCCGGGGGCACGGAGTAGGTGGCTGGGGTGGTAGGGAGGGCTGCTCTGGGCGAGTGGCTACCTCAAGTGTGAAGGTGTGAGTGGGCACCGGGGCCATGCCCGGCTTTGGGCTTTACTTTGAGGTAGGGTGCCTGGGAGGGTTTTAGGCCTACAAATGACTAGCTGGTTCTCCTCAACGAGAAGGAACCACAGCTGCTTCTTCAGCTGTGTTTAGGGCAGTGTTTGGCAAAATACATTCTTTTGTATGGCGTTTAGACTTTGCTCTGTTTTTGTTTTGTTTTGTTTTTTATCCGCCCAAAGCTGAGTGTTTGTGAATGTGAGTCTTTGCTACCCATAAGGCAACATAAAACTCCAGTCATTTATAGTTCTTTCTCTTGGGGTTAGAATGTAATAATAAAAGTTCAAAACTCTAGAGTTAATTAAGATGCAGGTCATAGCTAGGTGTAATGGCATACTCTTGTAACTCCGGTGTTTGGGGAACAGAGCCAGGAGGATCTCAAGTGCAGGTGATACCTGGAATACATAATAAGCCGTGACTCAAAGCAAAGTGTTCAAGAGTAAGAGCCTCCCCCCCTCCCCCCAGCTGCATGTACTCCTAAGCCAGATCCTGTGAGATGCCAGGGCCTGGAGGAGTAAAGGAGCCACAGCTGACCCTGTACCTCCACCTCCTCAGCTCCCTGTTCCTGCCATCACCACACTCTGTAGCCCCAGATTTGACCCAGTGTTCACGCTTAAATGTTCTCTGTAGCTAGGTTTGGTCCAGTGTTCACACTTAAATGTTCTCTGTAGTTTCTCTGCTCCTAGCAGGGGCTCCATTCTTTTTAATTTTATTTAAAATTTTCGTTTAACTTTTTGAAAAAATTAATTGAAATAGGAAGGATGACATCACTTCCCCTTCCCTTCACCCTCCAGCCCTCCACCTGTCTCTTGAACCCCTTCTGTGCCCCCCTCAAGTTGATAGCTGATGGAGGAAGGTCATTGGTTAAATAAAAAGAAACTGCTTGGCCCTCATTGGTTAGAAGATAGGTGGGAGGAGTAAACAGAACAGAACGCTGGGAGGAAGAGGAAGTGAACTCAGACTCCACAGCTCTCCTCTCGGGAGCAGACGCCTCAGAGAGAGACGCCATGCTCCCGGCTCCTGGGCAGACACATGCGGTGAAGCTCTGACCCAGGATGGACGTAGGCTAGAATCTTCCCGGTAAATGCACCTTGGGGTGCTACATAGAATATTAGAAATGGGCTAGTCCAGGTGCGAGAGTTAGCCTAGAAGAGGCTAGATAGAAATGGGCCAAGCAGTGATTAAAAGAATACAGTGTCCATGTAATTATTTTGGGGCATAAGCTAGCCGAGCAGGCGGCCGGGGTGCTGGGAACGCAGCCCCGCCGCTCCTATTACTACATACGTTAAACATGTATGTACATGCATGCACAAATATTTGTATATATTGAGTCCTTACTTGTTTGTGTCTGTATTGGTTTCAAGGCTGACCACTCTGCATTGGCCGACCAGTACGGTAGTCCCTTGTCCAGGGGTGGGACTTAGGGAAATCCCCATCCACTTTAACATATC